CCCCCCCCCCCACCCCATCGACCGACATGACGGAGTTTAAACATGCGATAGCAGAAAGAGCTACACCGGCGAGTGAGCCGCTTTACGGCACGCCATTCACACCTGCATCACGAGCTCCACGCCCCCGAGGGGCTCGAGCACAAGCGGCGCGGCCGCCTCAGCTGGCGTCGTCTGCGGCGGGTGCACCGTCAACAACACCGCGATCTCCTGCTCTCCCCCTTCCTCTTCTGCTGCTGCTGCTGCTGCTGCTGCTGCTGCTGCTGCTGCTGCTGCTGCTTCTTCCCCATTGCCGTCGATGGCGGCATCGCCGTCTTCTGCGTCGGCGGCAGCATCGACGTTCTTGACCGTCGTCGCCGCAACAGCGACAACATCGCCCACCGCCGCCGTTGCGGCAATCTCTGCCCCCGCCGCCGTCGGAGAAGGGGTGGCGGTGGCAGCAGCGGCAGCGGCGGCGGTAGTGCCCGCGGCACTCACTTCGACCTTGTCAGGGACCATCTCACACCTGTTGTGGACATTGGGCACGTCGNGGGGGGGGGGGGGGGGGGGGGGGGGGGGGGGGGGGGGGGCGGGGGGTAGGCAACCGCGGTTGGTCATTGGATTCCCAGGTTTGCATACAGCAGTGCAACGTCACTCGGCCAGAAGCTGTCGAAACAAAGGGGGTATCCAGGGGGGCAGAGTGCACGCCGGTTATGAGCAATGCCTACGCACTGCCTGTTGACCACTGTTGTTACTTTCTCACTCAAGCGCCGTCACGATTTCATCTCCATCCACAGACGAAAGAGCCCGGGATATCTAAGGTTCTGTGTGAGAGATTCATATATTCTCTGGGAGGGGAAGAAGACAAGATGATTGCAGCGATACGTAAAACGTGCGAGTGATCGCACCCTCCCCCCAGGCAGACTCCCATAGCCCTTGTATCTCACACAGCCGAGAAGACACCACTGCCGACAAGGGTGGATTCGGAAAGTACTGTTCGCACCGTCTTACGTGACAGTGCAGTCGTGGGGGAATCGGGCAGTGAAAAGGCAGCGAAAAGGCAGTGAACTCAGGGCGAGCGGCGGTGCGATTACTCGCCCGACTACGGCAGTCGAAACGAAATGACACGTGCTCATCCCCGCTGACAAAACATTATCTTCTTCGTGCTGGCGTACACCCAGATAAGATTGGCTCGAAATGCCATGCCGACTAGAATGAACGGAACACAGTGTTATTCTGGAAATGGTGCTGGGAAATGAAGCCACAACACGGAACGCGGAGTACACTGTAAGGACGTTCGGAACAACATCTACTGCTGTACTGGCATCCTGTTCAGCCGGAAGAACTCGTGGCGAAGATGTTCCGCGCTTAGAGGCGGGTTACTGCACCATCATCAAGACCGGGTGGCCGAACAGCAGATAACCAACCCTGTTCTGCTGAACAAGACACACGGCGGTGTAACATGTACTTCGTATTGGACAAAGGACGCTACATTCTTCACTCAAACCATCTCAACAAGACACAACGCACATCACAGTGACCCGCACAACCCCTCCGCCCACATGGACACCTTGAAAACGTCGTACGACGTTAACCGGGTGAAGGAGAGCAATTTTGATGCTAACGAATTCTGAAAACAAACGCAAGAGGTCCAGAAATTGTACAACAGACAACACAAGACCAGTCGGGAGGGATCGCGAAAAACAGAAATCGATGATTCTCGCACTGGACGGCAGTAGAGGCTGCTCAAACAATACACTTCACGCGTCTACCTCCACAGGCCTATTTTTGAAATCAAGGTAAAAAATCACACCATTCCAAATTCAAGTCAATAGAGCCAAAACGGAAGGCGCTCAAATAAAACAAGTTTTGAGCGTTAGGTTAGGCATTAGACTATAGTCAGCAGTAGAGGACACCATGAAGAGGCGTCGTGCGTGCTTGCACGTTCAGGTTTGTTACTGAAGCTGAAATATCGAAGGTTTGAAAACAGTCCGAAATCTGCGCCCGGACCAAGCGGCATCCAACATTTGTCACAGCCATGCTCTCCGCCATCGACCCCAATCTCCTGAACTATGGGTTTACAGCAGTAGCTGATGGCACTAGATACTGCTGACACCTTCGTCAGAGACTTACGGTCCGTGGCGGTGAGCACGGCTGTGACAAATGTTGACGCTTGGTTCCGGCGCAGATTTCGGGCTGTTCTCAGATGCTGCTGCGACCTTCGATATTTCCACTCCAGTAGCAAAGCTGAACGTGCCAGCACGCACGACGCCACTTCGTGGTGTCCTCTACCGATCACAATAGAATGCCTAACCCAACCCTGGCGGGAAGGTCGTTTTTCTTTCATTGTATAGGAATAAAGTACAGTAAAAGAGCCAGCGTCAAAACCCCTGTTCTTCCTCCCTTAGGGACTTGTTTCGGAATACTGCTGAGCATACGAGAACACGGGCCGTTGGTACTCATAGAGGGAAGGTGAATACTGAATAATGGCCCAGAATGCCACGGTTCGTACTTGAAGTACGCAGGAGATAGGGAGCAGCTGCTACTAGGCTGGTATAGTGTTCTGTTCACAGATTCGCAGATGGAGACAGAACGGAGGTCTTGGGCGTGAACGGATTCGTACCCCCGTGGAAGCCGGCTGAATGGCGGCAGCTCAGGAACATTTCTCACGATTTTTGTTTTGACTGGAGGGGGGTGGCGCCTGACCAAGTCTGGCATACCATACTTGTAGACGTACAGGAGAAGGATGAAACCGATCACGGTGAAACAGGCCGGAGTTTCGTGATCACCACGAGCTACATTTTCCAGGGCGAGCGGGTCTCATGGCTGGAAAAATGGAATGAAAGCACGGCACACGTTGGCCACCGTGATAGTTGTTGCGGGCGATACGAACCCCCCCCCCCCCCCCCCCCCCCCCCCCCCCCCCNCCCCCCCCCCCCCCCGATCAAGCTCCGTTGCTTTGTGCTTCATAACCAACAGGGGTGCGAAAACCGGCCGATGTGTCACAGGAAAGCCTTCTCGGCACGATGTGTCCCCCTAAACCAATACCTTCCCGGAACTGGAGGCATCGTTCTGGTTGTGGAGAAACCGCCTAGCTGTGAACAACGGTTACAAGGGGAGGTGGATCTCACAGCTCACTGCGGTACGCACTGCGGTTACGCCGCCGAATAAAGAAAAGGTGATTCATTTTACACAAGTACAAATGAACCGTCCGTGGAAGTTTCAAGTTTTCCGCGACATCAGCACTTGTGCAGCACGCAACTTAGAGTNAAGATCACCCATCCTGTCTCTTTTTGGGCAACTTTGTGACAGGGTTGGCCTGTCCTTTTTATGTTGTCCTTTTTTTGAATCTCGCGACACCGTGGACATACCCACACACCCACCAGCATCTCCCATGTGGAAGTGGCTGCCGTCTCTGGCGCTGCTCGCTGGCAGCAGCAGCGGCGCTTGCTTGACTCTAACCTTCAACAGCAGCCCGGGCTCTCTTCCGATGGCAAGCTGCTGTTGAAGGTTAGAGTCAAGCAAGCGCCGCTGCTGCTGCCAGCGAGCAGCGCCAGAGACGGCAGCCACTTCCACATGGGAGATGCTGGTGGGTGTGTGGGTGTGTCCACGGTGTCGCGAGATTCAAAAAAAGGACAACATAAAAAGGACAGGGCTACCCTGTCACAAAGTTGCCCAAAAAGGGACAGGATGGGGTGATCTTTTTTCGCTGTCCCTTTTCGGGAGGTTCAAAAACGCAAAAAAAGACCACGTAACAAGTGGTTTTTGGTCAGTTGTCCCTTTTTGAGAAAAGGGACAGCTCGAAAAGAGACAGCGTAACAAGTGGCCTTACCGCACACAACACCGCTATCTCTATCCTAAATTGGCCAACACCACCTCACATGTCCCGTTGCCTGACTGCCAAATACTTACTCTTGTCAAACACAGAAAGCAGTTGTAAGTCGTGAAATAATGTGTGACCCCGGCCGCCGCTTTTCTGCCACCCATATCTAGTGGAGCACAAGGGTGCTGTACACTGGCATCGACAAAGTAAAAGGGGGCTTGGGACGCAGCACGGCAGCAGCATCGAAACTGCGTGGCTGGATGCTGGACGAATGAGGAAAAACGCCGCTTTTTGTTGCATCTGCATGAACTTCCGTCGAGCTCCCAGCCAACCCGCTTGGACACGATTCACACGTGTGGATGCATGAAGGCATGGAAGAACCGTGAAACACTGCTCGTCTTCCTAAAGCGACGTTGTGAATGGCCGATTCGTGCCCACAGCACCTCTGTAATCTATATGCGGGCGTAGTACAGTAATCCATGCGCACCGTAGCGTGTTACGCATCTTTGCGCAATTTTTTTTTGCACTTGTGTAGACTACAATCTAAGAAGAATAAGCCGGCGCCGTGTGTGCTGGCGGCGGGAGATTGATTGCAGACACAAAAACCTGCATCATTCAATGCCGCCTTGCGGAGGGAGGGGGCGCTGCACCATGGGTAGCAAGGTGCACGCAGAGTGTGCACGTGGGACGAATGCGCACACACATCCTTGATACAAGTATCAGGCACGGCGGTGGTTGTGCCAAAGTGGTGCGGGGTTCTCAGGGAAACAGATTTGCTTGCTGATGATGATGACTGAGGGCCTCAGGCGGCGCGATAACCAAAATACGATGATACAGCAGCACCACGCTCCACCACTCACAGGCAACAGACCTGCAAACTCGACAGACCCAGCTGCGTACTTGAGAGGAGTCGACCACCAAACGCCACAAGGTATTCCTGCGTAGCATGCCCCTCTTACCCTGTTAAACCAGACCGCTTGTCGGAACGTTGCTGAGGCTGCAAAGAGTGGTGGTGCTGCTGCTGCTGGACGTTGCTGCTGTTGGAAACAGGCGTCCTTGAGCCGCTCCAAAGCTCGCTCAGTTGCAGTAGCTTCTACCAGATCACACTATCTTATTGTCGATCTTCAAGATACCTTGTCGATACCTTGTCGAACACAGCAGGCGGAGAGAGTAGAGAGCTGGACAGTAGGTGGCCAGCAGAGCAGAGAGGTGGTGGGCACGTCGATCGGCAATTTCCGTCAGGGTCCGGAAGCAGGGGGCACACGGCTAGGAATTACCATCAGCCATTGGATTGCCCATGCGGAGCCTCCATGCTCCGCTCGACCGGTGCGGTCGACACTCCAGACTCGCTGCGCGACACCAACACCAGCAACACACGCCCCAATAGCGGACAGACGCACGCACAAGAGACTTGACAAATAACCCAATGGGACGTCGCCCGGTGCGTCGCGCCGCTCCACCTAGCGATGGTGCCGTAGGCGGCGTAGCCGGGATCCCCTCTCCATCGTCCTCAGCAGCAGCAACCTCTGAGGGCAAGGTGCCGGCTGCGGCGGCGGGCGAACCGGCGGCGGCGGCGCCTAAAGGAGACACGGGAGGCAAGAATCCGTTGATGGGCCTCCTTCACTACGGTTCGGACTCCGAAGAAGAGGAGCCTCCAGCACAAAAGCCGGCGTCGGCATCATCCGTCTCCACTCCGGACCCATCACCTGCAGAGAGTCTAACGTACACGCTCCCGACCGGCTGGCAGCAGTGCATGGACAACGCCGGCCTGGTGTACTTCTGGAACACCGAGACCGGCGATACGTCGTGGGACCCGCCAGAGGGCACGCAGACGAAGGTTTCGAAGACGAGCAGCGCTGTTGATACGCCGTCTGAAGCACTGCCGATCGTCCCTGAAGCCGTCGCTGATGCTGCTAGCCGAGAAGCGCCGGCGGGCAGCGATGCCACGAGCGACACGGCCAGCGAGGCTGAAGAGGACAAAGCGGTGGCGTTAGCAGGAGTAACAGTAGATGAGGGCGCGAATCGTGCAAGTACCAATAGCTCTGGTGTCGCTGGTGCCGCTGCTCCTGCTGTGTCCAAGGTAGGCGTTGATACCGAGGAGGTCGAGGAAGGCGCCGTTAGCGGCGGGCAAGAAGCCGCGGACAGGGGTGCCACGCCAAAGGGATCCCCACGCTCAGCCGCGGACCCGCCTGCCGCCCAAGATCGACGGATGACAGCCGTGGGAGAGGAGCAGAAAGGGGGAGAGGAACTCCCGCAGCAAAGTAAATCCACGGGCACTGGCAGCTCTGACGTTCCCGTTGCTGCAACGGCAGGCATCGACGATCTCCTCGCGGGCATCGAGGCGGAGCTGTTGCTCGGCGGCGGCGACGGTGAGGGTAAGCTTGACGGCGATAAAGACGAGGCAAAGGACAGCGCAGTCGAAGAGAACGGCGACACAAGGTCAACGGGAGAGGAACAGGACTTCGCGCCGCTGCGAGAAGTGGCGCCCGGTCTCGACGCGCGGGCGCAAAAGGCTCACGCCGAGCTTGCCGCCTTGCTGGCGGTGGCGGCCGAAGGGAAGGGAGAGGAGGCGGGGTCGTCTGTTGTTCAAGCAACCGACCCGTCGGTGAGGTTGGGCATCGAGCTTGCCGCTGTGCTTCGTGCTCGCTTATCAGACTGGAGACAAGGCAAGTGCATGGATAGAATTGGGGTTGGTTAGAAACGGGATGGGCACGAACTACAGCAGTCAAACAAAGAGTCTTCCCATGTAATTGATTCACACTTGTATAATACCTTCCGTCGACACCCCGCTCCGGTATATTGACCACGCCACCTTTTGAGAATGGACTCCTCAGATACGGACCCTGCTCGCAAGTTGATGGTGTATGGGAACCCCCCCTTGCAGTTTTCCGGTTGTTCTTGCCGCTTCATCTGCTACGATAGCCAATGTCCTCATGTCTCTCAATCGTTTCCCTTTCGCTCGCGTCCCTTATCAATCCCACGGATATGCAAACGGTGCAGGCGGCCTTGACGGCACCTTCTTCGTTCTCAAGCTTGAGGAGATGGCGGCGGAGGCTCGTTCAGCCCTCGGTCCGTCTTCTTGCCCCACAGCACATAGGGCGACCGGACAGTCTCAGAGTCAGACACGGCCGGAGCTCGCCGCTTCCATGGATGCCATCACACCAGGTGCGATGGGTGCCGTTTCTTCAGCCGGCAGCCTCCCAGACGTGGCGGATCCCCCGCCAGGCGATGCTGCAGAGCGAGATGCCACAGCAGTTTCGGACGGCAAGAAGTCGAAGGGCCATTCAAAAAAGCGGCCGCGTGTTCGAGGGGCGGCCACCAAGGCGGCTTCCGCGGATAATGGGGAGGCGGTTTCGACCAGAAGTGTCGACGACGGCGTAGCGGAGGGTGTACCGGCATCCCACGCTACTGACGATAACGCCTCTTCTTCGACCGCTTCTGGTGCTGATGCTGATGCCGAGGCCGTGAGAGCGGCAAGGAACGCTGAGAAGCTCAAGTGGGCGGACGAAGTATCTGCAGCGGCGTCTGCTGCAGTCGCCGCCGCAGCCGCGCATTCTCAAGCTAAAAGAGAGCTCGCGAAGGCAGAGTCGGAGGCGAAAGCTGCTGCCGTCGGGACCGTCGAGAAGGAGGTAACCGACTCGCAAGGTTCCAACAGCGACCGGCGCAGAAAACACGCTGCTTCGGGTGACGATGCTACCAGTGACAAGAGGAACCATGCCACGTCAACAGATACGCTTGCTACCGCGAGGGCAATCGTAGAAGGCACTATCGACTTGGGGGGGGTCGGTGACGATGATGATGACGATGATGATGACGGAAAGGAAGATGGCGAGGTTATTGTCTCAACCGCTACGACAGAGGGAGGGGCGACGGCGGGGGCGAAAGATGATGCGGCGTCGGTGCCAGCACCGGACACGCGCGAATCGGGGATCGTGATCGCAAAGGACCCTACACTTCCCGATGTTCCAAGGTGCGTCGGTCTGGTTTATTCTGGTCTGATCGATGCGGTTTCACGGCGGTGTTGTCTCCTTGGTTGCAGAATACGCGTTCAACATTTTACCTGGTCTTGTCTCTCTCTGTCTCCGTCCAGTCTCGAGTTGTCTCCGTTTTAATGTTTCTCGTACTCTTGGCTAAGATTGGTGCGTATGTACGGTGGTTGGGCGTGGCGGCGGTATCGTGCCAAACGCCAATCGCATGGCAAGACTCCCTTGTGTTTCTTGTCTGGGGCCTGCGTTTCTGTCCCAGTTTTCGTCAAACATCGCATGTCGTTGTGCTTAACGCCACCACCCCCATCCCTGGCCCTGCGTTTTTCTCTGCCGACGACACTCACGCGTTCGCCGCACGCGATTCTCAGTGGGTGGTCGGCCGTTTTTGACACAACACATCAAGCCTACTACTACCACAACCTTACTACCGACGAGACCTCTTGGGTGCTACCGGCCACGGTTGCCGAATCACACCCAGCGGACAGCAAGTCTGTAAAGTCGTCGCCGGAACGGGATGAGCGTCCTCGCGAGATTAAGAAGTCCAAGGCTGACGAAGGCGACGCCAGCACCGGGAGAGGTGAACGACGGTCTGAATCGAGTAACCTGTCGCGCCGACGAGGGTCGCCGGGAGACGAGGGAGGCCGCGAGCATGCCGAGGCATCGGCTGCAATTAATTTTGCGGGAAAAAGCGTCGAAACGAAACACGAAAAACGATCCTCAAGAAAGAGAGATGTCGAATCTGGTGCTACTTCATCTACAGCATCGCAGGACGAGAAGCCTGCACCGGCGGCATCGACAGATGCTGCGGCCAAGGAGGGCGACTCGGCGAGCATACCAGAATCCCTCTCGAGGTACGAGTAGTTTGCTGTTGGGGTGGAGGGATCAGCTTCCCGATCGCGCCGCGTGTGGTGGGTGGACAGTGGGAGGGAAGTGTCTTCAGGTCACGTGCGTTCGACTACTGCTGTTTGCTTGAAGTATGACGTCACGGACGTCGCTTTGCACCGTTGGCTTATCGGTAGCTGTTGCTTGCGGACGGAGTCCATATGTTTTGGTGGTCGCATGGCATGTCCCTCCCCGCCCCCGCCCCCCAACGCGCGACATCTCTACCCTTTGTGGCATAAGCGGGCGTTGCGGAGGAGGGCGCTGGGAAGGGCCAATCGCCGTCGAGGGTGATGCCGCGGGACTCTTCGAAGGCGGCAACGGTCTGAAACGTGGCGATCGTTTGTGCATGTGACCATCGCAGCGCACCCAAGAGAAGCACTGCGGAAATATGTCTCCACCTGTCAGGGGGGTGATGCTGTAGGCGACCACTCATGACTACCCCACGCAAGCCTTGCCTACGTCGTGGCCACGTGCCACCACGGCCAAGACGTCAAGTCTTGGATAGCTTTCGATTGGACGTCTGTCACGGGTACGGTGCGGACGAGCGACTTTGTTCGATTACCGGCTCAGTAAAGTCTACCAAGGATGACCGACCCTCTTCGCAAATGATCGGCTGATGCCCCTCAGCTTCGTGATGTGAAGATTCGACCTCTGGCTTCCCTCGGGCAGCACTATCTTGCTTTTCAGTTGTTGTCCGCAACAGCCCCACGCCGCTCTCCGCCAGAAAAAGATCTGTGCTTGCGCAGTGGCAAAACGCTCCTCTCTCCCGCGCGCTCAAGGATCGACAACAGGTGAGTGGTCAAGCAGGTCGGGGGAGCATTTCAGTGAGCGCTGTGCGCCACTCCAAGTACGCCAGACCTCTATGGCTGACTTTCTATCGCCCTCCCCCCCCATCCCCTGGCCCCCCTCCGCCTTATTCCGCCGTCTGTCGTTGCCACGGTTGTCATTCCTCTCGTGATCACCGACCACACCGAAAAAAAATCTTCGTGGACACACATGCGTCCGGTTTTCCGCAGCACCTGGGTACGCGTCTGGGATGACAACCACGAGGCGTTCTACTACCACAATACCGTCACCGACGAGACTTCGTGGGATCCTCCCGCTGCCGCGGATGTTCCCGCCGCCGCCACCGCCGCCGCCGCCTCGGCCGCCTCTGATGACTCGACTCTGGCGGCGCCTTCTCCTCGGCCTTCGGGCGACAAGAAGCAAAAGCAGCAGAAGAAACGAAAGGACTCTGCTGCGGTAGAAGCCGCCACACCTGGTGGCGCTCAACAGCGGTCGCCATCTCCCGAGTCGTCCATTTCCGCGGCTGCCTCTCCCGCTGCCGAGAGCGTGTCGACACCAGGGGGGCAGCGTCGGTCTCCCTCACCGGTGACCGCCGATGCACCAAAGGCCCACTCCGCCACCGAAGAGGATAGCGCCACGGCAGCAACGCCGGCGGCCTCTGTTGACGCGGCTGAAGCTCCCACCACTTCCGTGGTGGACTTGCGGCCGTGCACGCTAGTTTGGTGGTCGGATGCCGGGGACGTTTGGAACGGCGTATCGCTGTCGGGTCTTCTTGGCGGGTACGGACCTCGCCGGTACCGGAACCTTGGCGGGGGCTACTACTTGACGACGCTGGAGCGGGGCCCGGAATGGGCTACGGCGGCGGTGGCAGCGCTCGGCCAAGGTGTGGTTGATCCCGTCGCGGCCGCGAGGATGGACTGGGTAAGCTGCACTGCTTCCGCCCCGGGCTACGGCCTATTCCTGAGGTTTTCGGGCGAAGATGACGAGCAAAAGTTGTTTGACGTGCCCGACGAGTACTTTGACGACCCTCCCCCAGACCCTGCGATCGTAGCCGCGGAGGAAGCCGCCGCCGCCGCTCTTGCAGAAGCGGAAGCGGCGAGAGAGAACGCAGAAATGGACGCGGCGGCGGCGGCGGCGGTGGCGGCGACGGAGGAGGCTGAAGCTGCCGGCAGCAAGGCGGCGGCAGCCGTGCTGACGGCTCCCCCGACGGCAGCTCCTCCTCCCGCACCCAAGTCCACCAAGAAAAGGAAGAGCAAGGGGTCGTCAGCGACCGGAAAATCCGGAGGGTCGATAGGGAAGAAGCGCAAAGGTGCTGCGAACTTGATCGACAAGTGGAAGGCGGTGGCGTCGTCTGCCGGCGAGGAGGCCGAGAAGGAGGCAGAGAAACAAGAGAAGATGGAGCGGTGGAAAGCTCGGGCGGCTGTTATGGACCCTGATAACCCCAATTTCACGCCGATAGGAAAGAGAAGGAGGTGATGAGATGAAACCGGCAGGTCTTCATTGTGGCATTGGACTAGTTCCGGAGGCAGTACTATTTAGGGGCAAGAGAAGACTTTGGCCAGTTGCTGATGTGGGACGAGGATATGCGGTGACCAATATTTATCAATAGAAATACCGTTGTCATGGTTGAGGATAAACAGCTTCTCCTTAGCAGCTTCGGTGCCGTGGCCGAGAGTCTTAGCGCTTGTGATAGCGTTCAAGATGTCAGTAGATAAAATATTTTTAGTACCTCAGTTTTTTCCGCATGTATTGCTGACATTGATTCCGCTGGCGGGGGCACAATGAATTCCCTCTGCTTTCGCACCTTTTTGTCTTGCGTCTTTCGGCTAACCATTTGAAAGTGGTTGCTAGTCGTAACGGTGAAAATACCCTGAGCTTATGCTGGTGATGTCTGCGTGCGCATCAAGTATGCCGATGTTGCGGTTCATTCGGTCTGTATTTATAAAGGAGTTGATTGTCCATGCGAACGACGGGGAAGCAACGTGAAACGGCTAACGATGTTACGAATGATCGATTTCAGCTCGTAGGAAGAAGCGTGATTTGGGTCTTGCCACCGCCGGCCACGGTACCCGGTTCGTTTGTTGTCCAGAACCCATCGCAAACATGTATGGTATCGCGGGATGACCACACTGGGTTGCTGTCTAGATGGCGTTTTCCGCGAAATTTCCTTTCATTACAACTGCCGTTTGAGAGGGACTTGTGGAGGACAGGTTGTTCCCTACGCCTCAACTGAAGCGGCCTTGCTGGTGACGCCATCAACAACCATTTTCTTAGATCGGGCATACGCGCCGGTTGGAGGTTTCAGCCGCGGGTAACAGTAAGCCAGTGACTTTAGGCAAGTTGCCATGAAAGCGGCGACGCATGATGTGAAAGGAGTACTCACGTGTTCACAACACAAATGAAGTAAGTACAGTATAGGACAGTTGTCGAGTCGCTTATGGACCAGAAAACGTCCTCCACGTTTTGTTCTCGAACGGAGTACTCACGTGTTCACAACACAAATGAAGTAAGTACAGTATAGGACAGTTGTCGAGTCGCTTATGGACCAGAAAACGTCCTCCACGTTTTGTTTTCGAACAACTTTTTGCCGTCCCTGCTGGCAACCACTTGCTGTGCTGCAAGAGAGATACGTAGCCCCACCTTTCCCACCCACCAACAACCTCGTGACCTGCTTTCGGTTATTTGCCTTTCGCCCCCCAATGTGTGCGTTTGCCCCCACGTCACTTCCTTTGTGTACAGGTCAACTCACAACAGAAACTCCTAATCTTGGTAGGAAAAGGGTGCTTGGAACAGCCCATTATCTCTCTCTCTCTTCCCCTCCCCCTCCATAGTTTCCGAGAGATGTCGTCGGAGCATATCCCGAAGAGGTACAAAAGTGCAAAATCGACGTCCAGAACAAAGGGCATGCCACACCTTTTGACCCAAAATCGCAAGTGTTCGGGGAATACCGCGCCAACAAAGCCAGCAAGCACTGCACGACCATCAAATGTAAATGCTATGATTTGCTCACAACATAAATCACTGGTCCTGTACAATGTAATGGCGCCCAGATCTCATTGCGTCCTAAAATCAAACCCGCGAGGACAGACTGACTACCGTACAAGAAACGCTCGATACATCTGAGGATTATCATGCTGAGCGTACATTGCACCAACGCTGAGTCACAGCGAGCGGTAGGTAGGTGCTGCCATCCACAAGCACCGTGCCGATGCTAGCGTCGCCCATACTCACTTTTTTTCTCTCTTTCTCACCTCCTAGCCGCCCCGGCGATCAATCCATAAGGGTCCGTCTGGTTGAAATCAGGGCACGGTGCACGCACAGCAATTGGAAGGACGTTGGCTTGAGAACAGCGGCAGTCTGGCATGTGCTACAACACGATCGCGGGCTATGCAACTTCACTATTCCAAGAGCTTTGTGATCTCCCGCACAGCCGCTTGAAAACCGCAACTCGATAGTTCCGCTTCGGACACTGGGTACCCTTTGCAGAGTCATTCACGTTCATTTTCGCGTTTAGTCGTTGGGGCTACATGCACCTCCACTATAGCAGTTCCTGGTGAAATTTCTGGCTACACAGCACGCTTGGGCACAAAGACAAGACGCGCATGCCGCAGAACGAACGGTCACCTCACTCGCAAAGCGGCTGGGAATAGAGCTCATCACGCTTGAAACTCATCTTCGTGCCAAAAAGAGCATCGGCAGCAGACACCGCAGTGTGCGCCCTTGGATTCGACCCACCTCCATATCACTAGCACGCCCCTCGATCGTTGAAGGGATTTCCCAGTGGGGGCCTTCGCAAATATGAACGTGGACAATGTTCCGCGGCATGGCACGTTCACTTCCTCCTCCTGTTCACTGCCTCGAGCGCTGCGATTCCGGAAGCTCACGCGGGGCCCGTCTTGGAAAACACCGTGGGCCGATCCATACCCGCAGTGAGTGCCGTGTTTCGCCGGAAGTAAAGAAAATTTCCAGGGAGAGCGGTTCTCCTCTTCTGATCTTACCCGGTTCGGAGCTACAGCGGGGGGGGCGAGGGGGGTGGGGAGGTCGCTGATGGTCCCCCCTTCCCCTCTCCGAAAAAAGCATTATCTGCGAGGGTGAACAAGCAAGACTGCTCCGTTAACAGACAAACACGCTGGAGTGATATGCCATCTTCCACCCACGGTTAGGTTGTTCTCGCTCAGACCGACCGTTAGTCCTGCTGTTGCCGCTAGGGCGGATCTTCTTGCCGGCAGTGAGGTTGATCGGCCACAAGTTCTTCCACCGCCCCGGGCACGCTGTCCTACGGATGGATGTTCACCATCTGTTGTGTGTACCGAGCTCATCACCTTCTACTCGCTGGTGGCCAAGCCAGCCGCCGGTTGCTTGGGGCAGCGTGGTTGAGGGCAACCTCTTGTGCGAGAGTTCTCATTCCATCCTCTTTGTGGTTACATCGCAGTAGCTCCTTGCTGACGGCCACGAGCCACACGCCCGCTGCTTGGCGCAGGCTGGATGAGCACACCTCTTGTTGACGACTTCCACCATCCCGGCCTTCTCATGTCCGACCCGAAACTAATATTGGCATGTTGCTGCTGGCCGCGGCACACGCCCAGTGCTTGGTACGGCCTGTGTGACCAGACCACGAAGGGCAAATTTGTCACCCCCCACCCTTCTCGTGTTTCGAGAAGAACTTCCTCTCCGTGCTTGCGGGCAAGCCACACGCCGCCCGCCTGGCGACCACCTAGCGCAGCCTCGAAGAGCGCACATCTTCCTGTTGTTGAGACAACGTTCACCATTCAGTCCTTTTTTGTTGGCAGCTTTGGCCTGATCACGTGTTGCATGCCGTGAACGAAAGGAAACAAGATTTGCTGAACTGTACCACATTGGCCGCATTGTACTTACTATCCTTGCCATCCCATTCTCGGTCACCGTGCTTGTCACCACTGATATTCCTGGTCCTGGCACACACCGCGGCTTGCCACGAAACTATGTTTAAAACAGCGGCAAATGGCGTATAGACTATACATGTACCTTAGGTTGCGCATAAGATAACACACCCCCTGGACCGATTTTCAAAGCTCGATTACCCCACGACGAAGAGGATGCCGAAATCAAACTATAGATTTTCGGAAAGCTCTCGACGAGACGGTCCCATTGCTGTCATTTCCCTGCCGAGAAATCGAGCTTCGAAAATCGGTCCAAGAGGTATGGTTTCTCATGCAACCTACGTAGGTGTGCGGGATTACTATTTTTTCACACACCATTAGTCTAATGTGCAGCATCATTAGTCTACCCTTGGCATACCCAACCTTTTCCCCGTACGTCCTGCCTGCATGGTGTAGTCTGCGCTCACGGTGAAGACAAAATAAGAAACTCAGTCTCGACCCAAATGTGGTGCATAATCCTAGTCTGACAAGACACATGTTCCTGCTGTGGTCTACCGCCGTGGATGCTGTCCTGAAGTCAGCAGAACGTGCCAAGTGGTGTACAGCAGGAGATAGCAGGAAGTTCACCGCCGACGAAGTACGCCTTTGTGCAACCAATATATGCATCGACAAAAGTGTGACAATTTTTCTCCCTTGCTCACATTCACTTAGCCACTTGCTGCTGCTGGCGTGGCCGGTCCCCCACGTATGATGTGAAACGAAGTGCAGCTGGTGTTGTGCGCGCTGGATATGCAGGGGCACCCATGTACTGTTGTAGGTCTGCGGTACCTGTACTACCAATCTGCGAGCCCCCTTTGCCTATTTGTTGATTTCGAGAAGCATGGATAGAGCGTCAGGAACGACATCCCGGACACCTCCCACCGCGCACTTTACATCCTCAACAATCCAGCGGAAAGCGTGTGTAGTTCTCGTGCCCGTTATCCCCCGCGAGTTTAACGGTTCGCTGAAACCGCTGCTGCCTCTTTCGCTTACGCCTTTGGAGGGGGGGAGACAGAAGCATCCGCCGAAGAACTTGGGGAACGGCAAAGGGTAATGGCTCGGCGACTACAGAAGGTGTGTAGGGCACTTTGTGTTGCCGTCAAGCCCCCCCCCGCTCCGGTCAGGTGTTCGTCGTTGGCGGTATCCAGGGCCTCGTACGGCTGGTTATTTTTAAGGAGCGGTGGTCGGGTGTGCCTGGCGGTCTTCAAAAACACTCCGCCTGCTGGGAACGTTCGGTGTCGAATCGCGGAGCAAACAAACAGAAGGCAGCAGCAACCTTCTTTCGAAGAAGCTGTCAAGCCATCATCGCGTTCAAGCCTACTCGTTGCTACCACTCTCTGCTACACCGCGTCGCTCCCTGTATTCGGCCGATGGCGTTGTGTACCCAGCGAATCTTGCGTATGTAAACCGAACACTGATACCAGCAAGTTAGGGGGGGGATCAGGTGAAGCTTGTTATGTTTATCCCATCACCAGACCCACGCGGCTGCAGGACGTGAAGTTTCACCCAGAAGAGAAGTTGGAATCAGACGACACGTCTGACTACCCTATACTAGAGTACTAGAGAGATGAGATGAGCCCTCGCCAACCACGTGTACTACCCTTCTCTCACATCAAACCATCGAATTTTAGAGCACGTAAGGCCACTTTTCTGTAGGCACGAAACAAGAAGCGGAGAGGCAAGTCTGAGTCTCAGCGACGTCCTTGCTTGGAGAATGGCAGTGACGTCCAGCGCAAGTTTACTGTCAACGGCGATGGGGCAGGTGTAGACATGTCGAACTTGCACATCACAAGGTACACAGAGATCGAAGACTACTTCTACTGCCCTGCTATGCATGCACTGCCTAAGAGGAAACTCGAGCTGGATTTATGCGTGAGGTTCTCGGAGATATGCTGCTGCGTACTGCTGTAGACCATGTGCGTGTACGTATAGATCTACCGATTATGCATACGAACGGCAGGTTTCCTCAAACGTGCATGCATATATGGATCAACGCTTACCCTGGATCTGCTACTTGTAAACCTTAACCTTTCACCAGGTACGTACGTGTGCAGCAAAAAAAAAAAATGTGCAGCAGTATTTGTGAAATCATTGTCTCGTGGGGCGACGTCGGTAATGCACTTGCATCGTTTTTTTTTTATTATCTATAATAATTCGAGTTTTTCCCAGAGATTAAGCTTACCCTAGATCGGCTACTTGTAAACCTTAACCTTTCACCAGGTACGTACGTGTGCAGCAAAAAAAAAAAATGTGCAGCAGTATTTGTGAAATCATTGTCTCGTGGGGCGACGTCGGTAATGCACTTGCATCGTTTTTTTTTTATACATAATAATTCGAGTTTTTCCCAGAGGTTAAATTCCTGGAATTTTCTGTCTTTTCTCGTTTCGCACAGAACAAGCACCCCACGCCCAAGAACACCACACTCTGATGTACATACACATGCAAGCGAAGAGCGTCTTTGGGCAAGTAGTCCACTGGGCTATTATAGAGGCTTCGCTTACATGTTTGATATCACCAATGCAAGGACACGCACGCCAACGATTAAGTAGCACGCTGTCTTAGTGCTGGGTGTTTGTCGATCCCAACCATCGACTACCTGCAGTCGGGCGCCCTCGAAGCAGTAACGATGGGGCGGAGTGCGCAAACAGCAGGAGGCATGTAGGGAAAATGTGCCGCCTGTTGTTAGCTGCGGGATGCACCTTAAGCCTCGGTACACACCCACTTGTCGGGCGTGCAGCATCGGTGGACGGGAGGCGGGGGCCTGGAACCCGTTTGGGGTAAAAACAACAGCTCGCATCTCGGGTTTTCACAGCAGGGGCGCGGACGGTCTCACGTCTCCTTCGTTCGGTGTCATGTCTCCTCCTTTCCCTCTCATTGACGACAAATACACGATAAGCCATAGGCAAATCCCCGCTTGTGCTCACAACTCCTTCCAAACGCGTCCAAGCCAGTATTGATGATGTTTTTTCTACTTGACTCCTGCCCGTCGTTCAGCCTCGTTTCGCCCTCCCACCTCCTACTTTACGACGGCACAAGCACCCACCGGAGCAGCTCGAGTACGTATTCCTCATGTCGGGCGAGCAGCGTTTCCATTTCTGCTACCCTTGTTATCGGAGATACTTTTAAAGGATGACTGAGAGTAGCACGATCACGGCGGTTGGTTGTTCGGTGTGTGATAATCCCGGCGCTCCAGCCTCCAAAACCTGTCGACATGGCCCGACACTGTCCCGTTTCTGTGGGTTCTCCCTTATCGAGATCCTCCCTGCCGCCATCACCGCCCCCCCCCCCCTGTGTTTGCCATCGGGATTGGGTTTTCGTCGCTTGGCAACGACGTTGTAGAACAAGCCAATTCACTTCGTGAGCTCGGCAACCAGGATACCGTTTTTTTTTTACCTCTGATTGTTTGTTGGCGGTAACCATAATGGTGGGCTAGTAGATCATGTTGTGCGGGATCGAGAACCCTCACTCCGCGCAAGGGGGGTGATCGCACCACGTTGTGTTAAAATGGTCAAGCACCGTCGAGGCAGTTACACAGTGCTTACAACTGTCTCGGGAGGTGAAAGCACCAGAAAATAAATGAAGTCATGCGCAGCTGTCTGTTTGCAAGGAAGTTAGCACAAAATGCCGAATACCCTTAGCAGGATTCAGCGCACCCTTCATGCGACTCGCCGAATATCTCACGGCGCTTCGTGCTTGGTGATGTGAGAGCCTGGTCCGGTGAGAACCCGGCGTGCTTCGTCCCGGCATTGTAGGGATGCGAGGTCAATGGTCTAACAACTACGGCATGCACGACTATGAGCACACACACACACACCCCTGCCGCCATCTGCAACACGTCGTTAGTTCCGTATCCCGTGTCTCTAAAAAACACCTCCTCCGGTATCTGGAACACCTCCACCGTGAAGAATGTCCCCCGAACCTTTTTGTGGACGTTTTGCTTTTTATTTTATTTTACAGGAGCTGGCGGAGCTCCGCAAGAACAAATTAGAGTGGTGTGACATCCAGCCCATGGATGACGACATCATGCGATGGACAGCCATGTTGGTGGGACCGGTGAGCCTTGCCTCTCGTGCGTACGTGTGTGACTCGCCATGACGTTGTCGGGTTGTTGTTGTTGTTGTCTGGCTCTATTGCCGTTGCTGTTGCTGCCGTAGTTTTCCCGTCCTTTTTGTTGTTGCTGCTAGCTTGGTTGTTGTTGTTGTTGTTGTTGTCGTTGTTGCCATTGTTGTTGCCATTGTTGTTGTTGTCTGGCTCTATTGCCGTTGCTGTTGCTGCCGTTGTCGTCTTTGTTGTTGCTGCTAGCTTGGTTTGGTTGTTGTTGTTGTTGTCCTTGTTGTTCTTGTTGTTCTTGTTGTTCTTGTTGTTATTACCGTGAAGAAGGCGATTCTCATCTCTAATGAGTAACGCCAAACTAGCGCGTAAAACGTCCAAGATGTGTGTGATAGTCTGTACGACAGAGAACCGAATATCCCATGATTTGAAGACGAGTTAACCGAGTGCAGTCTTTCATCTTCAGCCGTCGGGGCGTTTTTAACAGACCTAGTATGCATTCATGGAACAAAAAAGCAAAAAACGCCTACCTGATACCTGATACACGGGAACGGGCGATGCCTCTTCACGATACGGCGATGGCTTCCACGGTTCAGCCGCCAAAGGCGTTGCATATGTCTTGCGACGGGCGTTCATCCCCAATATTGTTACACTCGGTACGCCGGCCGCTTAACCCGACTCACCAAGGAAAGAAAGCACGACAGTCCTATGCATAAGAGCCTGTTTGTGCATGACGCCGAAAGACGCAAAGAGGCACGTTTCTGACCTCGCGCGTGTGTGGGTGGGTGGGTGGGTGGGTGGGTGTCGTTTTTGGGCGTGTGTGCGGTGTCGTGTAATAAAGGATGACACGCCCTTCAGCGGAGGTTGCTTCAACCTGGAGATCGAGTTCCCGGCAGAGTACCCTTTCAAGGCACCCAAGGTAAGGAGAGGAACGCCTTTTCCAATGAAACCCCTCATATTGTGTCACTGTTGACCTTTTCGGGGCACCTAGGGTAAGGAAAGGACTTTTGTATTGAAAATCATGGTGTATGCTTTCGAAGCACCCAAGGTTAGGAAATGAACGTCTTCTTTTGTCGATGTGTACCCTTTCTAGGCACCCAGGGTGAGGAACGCCTTCTAAAATGGAACGCGTTCTGGTGAAGAGTGTCCTGTACACATACAGCAGTCGATATCTGCGTGCGCGTTGCTGCACGGGGGGCGGTGTCGTTAGGGGAGTTGTTCGCTTGTGCGAATTACGGAGCCCCCACCCACCCCTCCTCTTCCTCCTCGTCTGCTTGGGAAAATTCAACCGCAGGTGAGGTTTGTGACGCGCATCTACCACCCCAACGTGAAGACAGACTCGGGGGAGATTTGCTCGGACATCCTTAACGAGAACTGGGGGCCGACGCTCAATGTCACATACGTGCTCAACACCATCCGCCAGGTACGTGGTATCGATTGTGCCGACTCAATTAGATGCTATCTCCCCTTTACATAACTACGGAAAGGTTGCGAGTCAGCTAGAGCACAGGGACAGGGGTGCGATTGATTTTCAAAGCGTATTTTCTCCACAAGCAGGAGGGTGCAAGCGCGAACTGATGCTTGTCAGGAAAGCTCTCGATGGGATGTTTCCAAAACCGCCCTTCTCGACAGCAGTGGGAACCTCCTGGTTGCGGAGAAATTACGCTTTGAAAATCGTTCGCACCCTTGTGCGCTGACTCGCAAACTTCCGGTAGGTACGCTTGTTTTCCCCCACGTAGATCGGGCTTGAGCGTCCGAAAGCACTCAAGTCGGTCGGAGCTGCCCTCGACATGGGAAGCGCGATAGCGCATGTTGGAACTCTGCCACTGTTGGCGGTGTGATCGCGCCCCTCTTGAAAGAGTGCCACGACTGGCGTCATGACAACGCCTTAATGGTGGAATGATGAGGCCTCTTGGGATCTTTTCTTCCATGGTTGGCGTCATGATATCACCTTCACGGCAAGGTTGGCGATATGGCAAGGCCTGTGTTGGAACGCTGAACACGGGTAGCGGCGGTACGTATCTTCGCCCTTGGTACGGTTGATTCGCCAGGGTGATCGGTCAGACGTTTTGATGCACACAGCGGTTGTGCTTACTCAGGAGGGATGCCAGCGCCTTTGGCCGTTCACGATGAGGGTTAACCCCGCTCTCTCTTTCCGTGAACTTGCTTTTATTTCCGCTTAATTTTCTGCCTGTGAGGAGCTAGAGCGCAACCGGACCGTTGAGTCTGCCGCGTCATCTTGACCTACACGTTCATGTTTGTCCTCACTCTTTTTCTACGTTGTTTCGTCAATCATCACTATCAACATCGGCAGATGTTGCAGGAGCCTCACGCGGACAACCCTCTGGAGGCGGACATCGCGAGGCAGCTCGCGGAGGACGAGGATGCCTTCACGCAGACGGCAAAAAAGTGGACCCTCGACTTCGCCAGTCCGTGACGGAGGCTACATACAATAGGAGGACGGCGATACTTGTAGCTGTCGTGTCCCCGAAGGGATCTTGTCCCCAAAGGGAGAGCAGTCCCGTTTTGCCCCTTCCCGGGGGGGGGGCTCCGTCACATGCCGTTCACCACGCATGCATACATAGCTTTCGATGGTTGATATAGAAACTGCTCCTGGGGGGCGGTAGGTAGAGGGAGTCCGAATCTTGTGTTTTGGAGCTGCTAGTTCCAGTGTTGGTGCCATAGCTGCGTGTTGGTGGTTGGCTCGGTTCTCTCTTGGATGTCGCCGGCCGCACCGTTAGGTTCCCGCTTCCGCTTTTTACTGTGTTGTGATATCGGGATCTAGCCATACCCCACACTGCCATCGCCAGTCGAGGGGGGGGGAGATTGTGGGCGCAGCCAGGACCAGAGGGAGGGGGGGGGTCCGCCGGCAAGTGGACAGGGTTGGCCGTTCTACAACAAAGCTGTTCTTGTTGTTGCCGTACGATGTTGTGCTCTTCGCCCGGCCAATGAGGGTAGTGGTGCAACGGGCTTGGGTGATGATGAATTCGTGCTGTGCGTGTGCACAAGAGGCGAGATCAGCAACTGAACGGCATTGCAGCAGCCGATGGGATGACCTGAATTCACGCAGCGGCGGCGGCAGCAACCAATCTGGTTCTACTGTTGTACTGTAACGAGCTGGTAAGAGTAGGGCTTCGCGAAGAGATGTGGTGGGTACGTGGTCCTCCCCACTCGACAGAGAGGGCGAGGGTAAGCCTGTTCCTTCCGCTCGCTCCAATAGGGGGCCCATGGACGAGATCGTGGGGCCAAGGACGGGGGGGCGGGGAGGGCAGGGTGAGGACAACAGGATTCCCGGTTCTGTCGTTTCTCTCGCTCTCGCTCTCGACCATGCCGTGGAAACCACCATCAAGGGTCAGGGTTACCTTGAAAACATCAGCGGCGGCGTCGACAGGGTCGCATTGTTTTTTTATGACGTCATGCCACACGTTTCTCTTGCGGATGGATCCCATAGATTGAGGATGGTACAACCTTACGAACGCTGTGGGAGAAGGAAGGGTAGAGGGGGGCATTTTTGGGGTGTGTGGTGGTCCGTGTCCTGGCTTGGCTTGGCTTGTATCTACGTTTTGTGCTCGTTCGTGTCTTTTCCCCTCTTTGCTTTTTCTTGTTTAATTGGTCTAGTCCAGTCCACGCCGTGTGACTTTTTTTTTGTTGTTGTTGGGTCATGCGCAAACTCCATTGCTGTGCGGTGGACTCGTTCCACCATCATGGCGCCACCCGCTCGCACGCCCAAAAGGGTCAGCAACGAAGGCGGGGTTTGTACATAAGCGATTGGCAAAGTCGATATCCAATTTGTTGGTTATTTGCATAGGCGTGTACTCTAACGAAGATCGAAAAATGAGATTTAAAGTACAAGTATCAATTTCTTGGTTATACATGCATAGGCCGTAGTCTAACTAAAATCGAAAAATGAAACCAAAGAAAAAAAATCAAACCGATGTCGTCCGGGTTACCAGCAGAGCTCCGTTTAGATTTCCTGGCTTCGACGCAACGCAAAAAAATTGGAGGAGCAAACATCCCCATGCAGGCTTCCTTGCCTTCCTGGAAGGAGACCCGGGCGGTGGATAGTCTCTATCCCCCCAACCGGGGGCTAGCAGAATAGATGTATTTTCTTGAGAATTGGCAAGCAGGTCTCGGAAAACAGAAAAGGACACCGCAGGGGGAGAGGGTAGAGAAGTTCGAAGACTTCCGACTCCCCCTCTCCGTAGGTGACTTTCGGGAGTGTCGTATGGTATTCATAGCAAGGTTTCTTGGTGGTGAAGTCAAACGACCAGCAAGAGATCTGCAGTGCACAATTTTCGATCGTGACTTGTCCTCCTTTTGTATGTGTATCAAGTGTAGGCAGTTTTCCTGTCCTCCATATCACGATCGATCTCAAAACCATTTTTTTTGTGTTTGTTCCTGGCGCCAACCTAACCGAACAACGGTCCATCTTTTTTTTTTTCTAACGTCGTTACGGGAATGTACGGCCGTATGCATATGGGTGGTCACCTCTGTTGGCTAACCTCTTGTTGCACAGAGGAGGGCTTGTACGAAAAACTGGTATGGGCACAGCCGAGGAAGGTGGGTGAGGGATATTCATAGAATAGTCTTGGTTTGTTTTCTTGCCACATCCTGGCGGTGAGCTTTTCTCTCGTCTCTCCATCTGTATTCGATGGTAAGGAGAGGTTGAACTCGAGGCCGACAACGCGACGAGAATGACTGGGCGCTTCGTCTGCGTTTCGTTCCTTGTCGAGAGGGCGCGCATTGAACACATTTGGAAGTTTCCGCCGCGCTCTACGCAATGTAGAGACAGAGAATAGTTCCTCCTCAGAATGATTGATTGCTGCTTCCAAGTTACAGCTGTGTTTCGGCGACGTTCGCAAGTTGCAAAGCCATAATAGAAGTAGTCCCAGCCACCGCGATATATCTTACAACCTCATACAACCACCGCCGGCAAATAACGTCATGCCACGTCTCTAAGGCAAGCGGGTAAGCCCCCGTCCCTCCTCCCTCGGGCTGCGTGCTCCCGAATACAGCCCGCACACACCCGCGTAGCTCTTCCCCAGGTTGGCGTCCGGCGGGAAAAGCCACCAACCACTGAACGAACCAGCTTGCTCGAGAGGGCAAACACCAAACGACGACACTCCAGACTATTCGAGAACCAGACAAGCAAGTGTGCACACCTCCTTCACCAAAGTCTAATCCAGGTCAGAACGAAGTCCAGTCTATGTTATCGGACAAGACCCATTCTTCCTGACTACTAATTTTCCCGGTTCCTCCAGAGGCGTCTCCTCCTTCTCCGCTGGCGGCGGGTTCTCCTTTCCCTTCCTTCTTGTCCTTCTCCTCCACTTCCTCGTCATCATCCAGATCCGCCAAGAGATCGGCATTCGAAGTCGGGGCATCTTGTGCTGGTGTACCCTCTGCCTGCTTGGACGTGCCGCCGTTGGTGCTAGCAATAGCCTGAGGGATGTAGGGGCGTTGATGATCGTCGCTTTGTTGGGTGTCAAATTATGGCTGGTTTGAGAGAGGTGACTACCGTTCACGACACAAGATAACATACACCTTGGATCGATCTTACAAGCTCGATTTCTCGACAGCAGAGAGAGCCACAGCGCCGTAAACGGCGGTGCTACCGCGCTCTCGTCGAAAGAAAGCTTTCCGAGAATGTATCGTTTGGTTTATGCATCCTCTTCGTCTTGGCGTGATCGAGGTTTGAAAATCGGTCCAGGGGGTGTGTTATCTTGTGTCGTAGACGGTAGCACTGCTTCCCCAGCCATATCGTGAGGAACTCTCTTGCTTGCAAGATGAGCGGTCTGGCGCTAGGTACTGGTACCAAATGAATAAGGTTCTTTCGATCGAGGGAATCGTTCTAAGATGCATCTTCTGCCGCAAGCCGAAGTCGAAAAACCTACGATGCCCTTCGAGGCGTGAGCGTTTGTGTTTGTTGACTGCGGCGAAATCAGCAACAGGCGTAGAGAGGTAGGTACACCACCAAAATAAACCCCCAATATCGGCCTGAGCGTAGGCAACGCTCAAAAACTTACAGTTGGCATACAAAGGGACCAACATACATACTCATTCCCGCGGACTATGTAGTAGCTTGAGTGATGGATCCATTCGCCGCTGCGACAACGGAACGCCCAGTTTGCCGTCTGTACAAGCATAGCGCACGTGATTTACCTCGCCATTCTTGGACTGGACTCGTCGCATCATGACCGCCTGCTCCCCATCGAAATAGCCCTAAAGAGTCAAAACGAGACAGTTTGGCACCAAACGGAGGGTGAGCGACAGAAAACACGTGAGGTTGAAACCAACACGGGAAAACGAATAAAAATAGAACAAATTCCACACGCGGAACACAGAAACGGCGGAGAGAACGGCAAACACAAGAACGAAGCGTAACAAATTTTGCGGGGGAACAATAAAATGATATCGGGAAGAGAAAAAACAAAAAAACGGTGCAATTGACTCTTGCGTAGTCGGACAGCCGGGATACATATATATATATATATAACCCGGACAGAGACCACCAACATGTTGCCATCGCTGCTGACCAGCCAGTCGAAAGGCATCAGCGCAATATGCCCGGCGCTAGCCGGCACGATCGTATCACTCTGTTTTGCTAGCGACAGAGCTGACAAGCATGCACTCAACAAACTTGGTGGTCCAAATTACCCAACAATATCTGGGATTTGAGAGAGCAAAAACAAGGGCTCCCAAGAAGCAGGCTCCGGGCGACAGGCTCCGAGCTTGACAACGAAACAGGTTGTACATACAGAGTGCATCACAGACACAGCGGCTGCTTCGTACGAACTGCTCATCTCTCCATTCGTCTACCAGCTTTTGGGATCGTCCACGAGGCTAGTATGGCGCAAGTCGAAATTGATGTGTGATACTCTTGTGTGGTCGAATTGTTTGCCCTGACACTCTGGGGCCGGCCGTTGCTGGATTGTGCAAGTTTCTGCTGGCAATGACGTGAAGTGGTTATGGGATTGGAATACAAGGATCTGAGCGATAGTTCTAGGCAAGATATTAATATCTGGCGGGAATTGCAACTCCTGTCGGAATGCTGCTCAAGAGGGGGAATGGCCATAGCGGCCCCTCCCTGGAAGGAGAGGCCCACGCTCCTTCCTGTTCAGTCTATCCCAAGCGAGGAGTCAGCGCGCGTACTGCTGTGTTGAGAGATTATCAAGAGACCCTCCAATGTGAACCCCTTGTATACACGTTTCTTGTCCTCTTGGTCATCTCTGAACACACCAGCACACCTTGCTGATCCCTTGCTTGGGATAGACTCAACAAGATCTGGCGTGGACCTCAGGGGCCGCTATGGCCATATCCCCTCTTCGACAAAATTCGTAGGGGGTTGCAATTCCCGCCAGATGTAAACATTTGCCTAGAACTACCGTAGTTTCCTTCTTCCCCTCGCGGCCGCGGCAAGGGCGCTGCTTAGGCATGGCCCATAGCGAGGGGGGCGGTCTTTCTAGCGAGCAGGGCTAGACTCACGATACCTTCTTGCTGCGGCGCACCCGCCACGAGGCGTGCGTAGTGGTAGAGTTGGGTCGGCACTGGTGCGTCAGGTACAAAGGTGCAGGTGCGCGGGCCTCAAGGCCATCGGTGTATAGACAGCAATGTCCATCTCAGTTTTGTGCGCGGAGGCAGACGCCATCAGAAAGGTGGACGGGCACTCTGTACACGGCCCTAGCTTTGCTAGAGGGAGCTGTACTGTCTCAGTAACCTGCCTTGGCCATCAAAGGGGAGGAGGGAACAGGTGGTGGCGAGCTAAGTGGACTGGTTGACCTTCAGCGCGACAATTTTCAGGCCAAGAACCCAGAGTGCAACGAGGGAGAAAGCGAGGAACCGACTGGGAAGCACAGCAACGAGAGCGTGTACGGACGGAGCGGGTCGAGTTTAGTCGTGCTAGGACTGGCCGCAGCGACACCGGAGCAGCGGCGCCGGAGCAGCGGCACCGGAGCAGCGGCACCGGAGCAGCGGCATCGGAGCAGCGGCACCGGAGCAGCGGCACCGGAGCACACGGACGACACCGACCCGTGACGCACGGACGAACATTTAACTACTTTCTGTTTTTTTCCTGAACATCGGTGTTGGGTATGTGTGGTGACGTCACTGGTTTTGTAGAGAGACGCGGCAAAGATGGCGCGGATACCCCCGGTGTCTTCAGTGTGTACCTGCCTTGTGGAAGACCCCTTCAATGTGGAACAATTCCTAGTCAGTTTCGGTTATTTACACTGCTGTGTCAAACACAGATGATCGGGGGTAGATTCGGTGATTGTCAATTGCAATTATGGCTTTGGTTGGTTGTTCTTTTTCACTGTACGTCCACGGACGCATTCTGACAGCACTTCAGACAGCAGTTGCGCGCCCCGAACTTGTACCATGCCTACCATGGTGTTATTATTGTACAGGCAGCACTCCAGACAGCTGTACGCTGTAGTCGACAAACATTCATTTTGTTTGGTGTGGGTCAGGGGGGATGCTGCTGTAGTCGAATGTAGTGTGTGGACGGGTAGTTCAGTTTTTGGGCACGCACAAAAACGTTCTGCAGGGATGTAAGTGTACGTATCTCTTCGGGCTTGTGTACCCTTGTCATGCTGGTTTGCGTGTGCTTCAGATATTCTGATGGCTCTGTAGCATTTTTGTGACCACGGACCGCGTTTTGGGATTAGCAACTGACACGGGTTTTGATGTAAAGACAACAGCAACAACAACCGTTCAGATCCTCACCCGGGTTGCAACTTACACAAAGGGCAAAAAAGATATGACAAAGGGGCTCCGCGAAAACCGATGGTATCCCGCTTGAACCCCCATGATGTGTTGCCCAGCGCACCATCTGGTGCAGACCTTTGTCACTACTGGTGCTCCCCACACAGATGGCTACGTGCCATGAAACCTGCAGGATACCTCAAGCATGTTGCGTTCTACACGCGCAGACATTTGGTATGCCCTGGTTTCGCTCTTAACCCGGCAAACACGGTACGATCAAAAGTGACAGAGCTGCTGCTTCCAGCCCGTTCCACAGCTGTCAGCATCAAACTTCACGCTGCTGTACACGCGCGAATGAGTTGACGAACTCGCTCGAGACTTCGCCAGAGTGGATTACGTGGGCATACGTAGCATTGAGGGGTTGGGGCAATCGTGGATCGCCACTATGAGGGTCATCGCCACTATGAGGGTCGTTCCAGTGAAGCACTCTCGCCCACTCTTTCGCCTAGATATCGACCAACACGACCCACTTGTCTACCTCCAATTTGGTTTGGATTCTCAGCCAAGTTCCCCCGAAATTTGACCTTCGACGCTCTATACACCTTCACCAACCGACCCAGTCCACTTGTTTGATGGCACCACGCTGCAGAGACATGCCTAAGGTTGCTTTCGAAGGTTGGCAACATTTGGATCGCCACTTTAGCGGGAGTTGTTGACGAACAACGGCCTGTCACACAGAAATCTGGCCACTGTAGGGGCTCCGCGTGATCGATGCCTCGTCATAATAAAAAAAAAAATGGCTTTTTGTAGGGACTTGCAACCCGGGTACCTTGTACTCCAATCCCATAA